GAAGTGAAAAATTGGTTATCACTGTAATCTTGTGTTCATAGAAATAATGTCTCAGCTTTCTTGATGATATCAACACTGCATAAAGTAGTTTTTGCACGTGTGGGTATCTCACTTTTGATTCTGTTAGTACTTCGCTTATGTAATAGACTGGTCTTTGGATTTTGTATGTGTGTCTGGGTTCTTCTCTCTCAACCACAATTGCTGTGCTGACAACATTCTTGGTTGCTGTAATGTATAGCATCATGTCCTCTTTGTCTTTTGGTGGTGTCATTACTGATGATGATGCCAAGTATTCTTTTAACTTTTGAAATGCTTCTTCTGCCTCTTCTGTCCATTCAAAATTTCCTGCCTTTTTCAATAATTTGAAGAAAGGTAGCCCTTTTTCTCCTAGTCGGGAGATGAATCTGTTGAGTGCTGCCATGCATCCTGTAAGCTTCTGTATGTCTTTAACTTTCTTTGGAGGTTTCATATCCATGATGGCTTTAACCTGCTTTGTACTTGCTTCAATTCCTCGGTTACTGACTAGAAACCCGAGTAGTTGTCCTGATGGTACCCCAAAAACACACTTTGTGGGGTTTAGCTTCCACTTCCGTGCTTTTAGATTCTTGAAAGTCTCCTCGAGGTCTTCTATCAATTATCCGGGTTCTTTTGTCTTGATTACTACATCATCAATGTATGCTTCTGCATTTCTTCCCACTTGACTCCCCAAGCAAGTTTGAATTGCTCTTTGATATGTTGCCCCTGTATTTTTTAGCCCAAAAGGCATTGATTTATAGCAATATGCCCCAAAGGGTGTAATGAATGAAGTCTTGCTTTGGTCTTCTTCTCTTAAGGATATTTGATGATAGCCTGAATATCAATCTAGAAAGGATAACAGAGCTGATCCTGCTGTCGAGTCGATGATTTGATCAATCCTTGGTGGGACATATGGATCTTTTGAACAATGTTTGTTGAGGTCTGTGTAATCGATGCACATGCGCCATTCTTTTGAATTCTTCTTCTCTACTAGGACCAGGTTGGCAAGCCAATCCGGGTTGATTATTTCTCTGATGAATCCTGCTGCCATAAGCTTGGTGATCTCTTATTTGATTGCTGCTTTTCTATCTGGAGCGAATCTTCGTAACTTCTGCTTAACGGGTTTGGACCCTTTGTTCACATCAATTATGTGCTCAGCCAACTCCCTTGGGACCCCTGGCATGTCTGCTGGCTTCCAAGCGAAAATATCTTTGTTGTCCCGAAGAAAGTTGGTGAGCGCGAGTTCCTATTTGGGGTCGAGATTTGCACTAATGATTGCCGTCTTCTCCGGATCACCAGTCAGTAGGTCAATAGTCTTGGTAGTGGCTTCTTTTGGTGGTGCGAAGTTGCTTGGCTTCTTAGCCGGTATCTTAATCTCATCTGGGTTCATTTCGTTGGCCAGCATTGCAATCTTCTTTCCTTCCTTTATATCTTATAATCTTTCGGATATTTGTACTGCTTGTACGTCGCAATCGTGTGCTTTCTTTAGATCTCCTTTCAATGATAATACGCCCTTTGTTGTTGGCATCTTGAGTAGTAGGTATGGATAATGTGGTACTGCCATGTATTTTGTTAAAGCTGGTCTCCCAAGTATTGCGTGGTAGCATGATTCAAAGTCTGCAACTTTGAATTTGATGAATTCCGTTCGGTATTTGTCTGGTGTGCCAAAGGTGACAGGTAGGGTTATCTGTCCGAGGGGCATAGCTGCTCTGCGGGGTACTATTCCATAGAATGGTGTGCTTGTGGGTGTCATTAGACCTTCACAATCCAGAATCATCCTTTTGAGAGTATCTGCAAAAATTATATTAAGCCCAGCTCCTCCATCGATGAGTACTTTAGTTACTGCTACTCCTACGATAGTCGGACCCAGTACCAGCGGGTAGCATCCTGCGTTTGCTGCATTGGTCCATTGGTCTTCTCTTGTGAAGTGGATGGGGTACTCTGACCAATCTAGATATCTTGGGATGGGTGATTCAGCTGCCATGATGGCTCTGTGAGCTAGATTCTCTTGTCTTTTGCTTCGTGTGTTAGGAACACCTGAAAATATCACCGCTAATTGGCGTTGGGGTTCTTGATAATCTCCTTCAGCTCTCTTTTCCTCCTTCTTGGATTCTTCTTGCTTTGGCTTCGAGTTGTTTTGATTCTTATTTTCTCTCTTCATGAATTGTCCCTGAAAAGTGCTGCATTCAACTAACTTGTGTTTGGCCCCTGGGTGTATGTGACACGGCATGTTTTCTATGTTTTCCGGCACTCTTCCTCGGTAGTTGTTACTCTGATAGTTGCTATTACTGTTGTAACCGCTGTTGTTACGGTTGTTGCTATTGTTGTAGTTGCCATTGTGATTGCTACCATTGCTATCATTGCCGTTGCCATTGTATCTTCTTTTGTTGTCTATGGTTGCCACCATATTGTCCTGCTTTGGTCTTTTGTCTTGCTGTCTGTAATCGGGTCTTCTATTCTCTGGGTTGTCCCTAGCAAATCTGTGCCGAGTTCTTTCTTCTGACGAAATTAGCTTCTCAACAACCCTCTTAAAGTCTTCATTTGTTCTTGGGTTCTCATTGAAATAGTCCTTGTATTGCCAGTTTGCCCAGATTCCTTCTGCAAAGGCCTCTATCACCTCCCTATCAGTAATGTCGTGGACTTGAGCCCTGAATTCTCCAAATCTCCTATAGTATTCCCTTAGACTTTCTCCTCTTCTTTGCTTTACTCCTTTCAATTCGGCTGCAGTCATTGGATGGGTAATAATGCCTGCGAAGTTGTTGCAGAAAGCTTCTTGCAAGTCTTCCCAATACCTGATTGATCTTGGCCTCAATTTGTCAAACCATTATAGCGGCATTGCTTCGAGGGCCATTGGGAAGAATAGAGCCTTGATGTCGTTGTCTCCTCCAGCTAATTCAATAGATTGGGAGTAAATCCTTAGCCATTGTCTTGGTTCGACTTTGCCATCATACTTGGAATGATTTGCTGGTTTAAACTTGTGCGGTAGCTTTAAAGTTTGTTGTCTTCCTATGAAACAAGGGAATCTGTCGTATGGTTCCGTTCTTCCGTAATCTGGCGATCTTGCCCTTCTATAATAAGACCTGTCTTCTTTTAACTCAGACTCTCCGTAGTCATCTTCTTTGTCAAATCTTCTTGATATTTCTTGGTAGCGTTGGCTCAATTCTAGTTTGTCTTTTTCTTGTTGCTTTGAGTAGTGTTCCTTCCTTCCATTGATATCAACACTTTCTACTGGTCCTATCCTTTGAAAAATCGATTTTTTGGGTGACTGCTCCCTTTGTGGCTCCTGTGGAATTTCTTCGTCGGGTTGTTTTTCTGATCCCCCGACTTCTTTCTTCTGGTCTTCCTTTGCTTTCCCGTTACTCGTGAGGGTGTACAACTCCTTTGTTAATTCTTCAATTCTTTCCCTTTTTGTATTTTTTATGGCTTCTTTTTCCGCCTTCTTTCTGTTGTATTCCGTTAGCTCCGCTTTGTATTTATTCCAGACTTGCTTCCTTTGTTTAGCCCGGTTCCTCCTTCCAGCTTTCAATTTGTTCTTCTTTAGCCTTGCTAGTTTTTGCTCATCATTTTCGTTGCTGTCGCTTTTCTCATCTGGCGAGATGTTGCCTTCTGATTCGTCTGAAGATTTTATATCTGGTATCTGTGGTGGTTCCAAAGGTTGTTCAACTGCTCTGCCATGTATATAGTATACCTCTTCCGAGCTCTTCTTATACGGTATTCCATCCTTCGTTTGGTTGAGCCGTCTGTAGCTTCTGAACTGGATCCGAGTTCTTTTCCCTCTTGATAAGGTAGTTCTTCAACGCGCGTGCCAGTCTGGGCTTTGCTTGAGGTGAAAGAACCTGGTCAATGCACCACACAATCTTGTGGGGTCACTGTCATGATCATCCCTTCTTGTGCTCTCTCTAGGAGTATTCTTCTTGCTGAGTTCATCTTATTTTGGGTAAAGTATTGATAGACTGATGCCGCGTTGCGCAGTCCGTAAGTTCCCAAGTTCTTCTTTGAGTTGTACGGGTCGTATCCCTTCGCGATCGTTGTTGTGTCTCCGAGTCCAATTAGGCTTGGCTCTTGTGCCGTGAAGATTGTCTTGGGATCGGGTTGTATCTCTTTTTCAGAGTCGGTTTCGTATCCGCTTTCTTCCTTATTCCGAGTTGTATTCGAAGTTGAGAGTTTCGTCATCTTCTCAGCAAGTTTATATTGAACTTCGTCATCGAATTCTTTTTCTTCTCGGAGACGGGTACGAAGCTTGCCGTCGCCGTCAGCCTTGCAGATCCAGGATCCGAAGATAAAGGTTGTTCCCGCCGAAAAGGTCATCTTGAGGTTGAGGTCCGCCGAACTCTCGAGAAAAAATTCGTCGAAAGCCCCTACCTGGCGCGCCAGCTGTCGATGTTTTACCACCGATAGCCTACCACGGAGGTACCTGGGACAGTTGTTCGGGCTTCGACGAATAGCGGAATTCGGTGGTTACGCAAAGAGACTCACGATTTATACTGGTTCAGGCCCTCGACTTGGTCGAGTAATAACCTTACGTCCAGTTTTGGCGTTAGCCTGTTCGCGTTGTATTGCTTTGAGTATCGGGTATGCGTTCTCTTCTTACAATGGGTACCCTCACCAGCCCTTTATAGTCCAGGCGCTGAGAGGCGTTGTTTGCGTCCTATTCGGATACATGGTCAGAGTCCTAAGCTACGCTTCAGGCGCCTTTCCTTGTATAGTTTGCGTTGGAGTTTCGGTTTTGCACGTTGCTTTGCTCCGCGTTCTTCTTGGCGATTGGGTTGTAGGCCTTGTTACCAAGGCCTACCTCACTACAGTATGGTCTATGGGGGCCCATAGGGTTCCCCATCGACACCTTCCAAGGACTGAAAGAGCAAAAGAGACTCGTAGCTAGTCCCTCCATTCGTATTTGTCCCTGCGATGAACTCCATCTCCACACACTCCGTGACTTCGTGCCCCATCTTGCCACAATGGAAGCAGAACCCCGGGAGCTTCTCATACTACACTAAGTACATCATTCTTTTCTTTAAAGTGATGGGAACCACACGCACCAGCGGCTTGCTCAGCTCAAGCCAGACCCTAGCCCGTAGATAAGGAGTCGGGTTGATCTTCCCTTTGTTCACTACCACCGTGATTAAGTCACCCACCTTCTTCGCTACTTTCTCCGCCAATTCCCTCTTCTTCATCAACCCCTCAGGGACACCTTGGATGCATGTCTAGATTGGGATTTTATCCAGCTTATAGTTATTCACGTTTGAGAAGCCATCATACTCTTCAATCACCACCGCCGCTCCTCGAAACAGCCATGGACTTCCATCCATTACCCTCGTCCAGTCACCAAGGCAGTGTAGTTGGACCAGAAAGAGATTCAGTGCCATCACCTTGAAAGTGACCTCCTTTGCCGCCGCCCAGGCGTTCCTCATCGCACTGAATAGAGCCGCATGGCTAAACGGTTTCGTCGTATAAACCCTAAACAGGCGAACCAACGGACATCCTTGATTAGTTCCTCGAACTCCTCCAAGAAGTCCAAATCTTCCTCCTCTACACCCTGCAGGTTCAAGCCCTCCAAACGCTCCTCCAGAGTTGGTTCGGGAGCACCATCATCCAGGCCCTCCGTCTTCTCCTTGCCCTTCTGCGTCGCCATGCTCGTCTCTCTGGCAGCGCCCAGACTCGCCACGCACCAGACCGCTGCTCGGCCAGGCCCTTCGCTTCCGTCCGGATTCGTCACGCAAAGGACCGCAGCTCGTCCAGGCCCTTCGCTTCCCCCCACTCTCGCCGCGCAAAGGATCGCGTCACGGCCAGGCCCTTCGCTTCCGCTCCGACTCGCTATGCAGTACGATTCCAAGTGGGCCGAGTCCACTTGACGCGAAAGTCGAAGCACTACAGGCCCATCTCGTGTTAGCTACGGTGCTAGAGACGACTCCAGCCCGGCCCAATGAAGTCTACAGGCCGAGCTCAGGCCAACCATCCTACGGGTTCCAGCATCTGGTCTTCTGCTCAACAGCAAGTCAACAACCCGGTAGAGGACAATATTTAAAATTCAATATTTTTGGTGGAGAAACAGCTTGATTGATGTGGATTTTGGTCAAGATCATAAAGTAATCTTTGTATAAGATTCGTCAAGTAAGCAACAGCCCGTCTTTGGCGCTAATCGGCCTGTTCTTTGATTTTTAGACTGATAAGTTGGGAGAGAAAAATAATATTGACCGGATAATAAACCCTGACTGAAATCCACGTGCAAACAGGCTGAATGATGCGTGTCTTCACCGATTAGCGTCCAAAATCATTGCGCGGAATCTCAGAGGTTGCTCGAACTAACATTATTGATTATTCCCTGCACCCGCAGTGCGGTGCTATGATCGAGATCGGTGGTGGATCCTCTTTTCTTTTCGTTCTAGCGAGAGAAAAATGTCGCCAACGAAAACGACGCATTCGTATAAATCTGTAGAAGAGATTTATGTACAAATTTCGGTTTGAATTGATGCAAAGTTACAAAAGACGCTCAAAAATCGATACAGGAAGATCACACGCGACGGCCGAATTTACACTTGCAAGGAAAGGGAATGGATCGTGGACGAGAAACGGGAGTATTTACGACGCAGAGAACTAGACGAGAAAGAAAGGGGAATCGATGGATCGATGGCGGCATGCCAGCATCACACGGGTGCGAGCCAAGGTCAAGCCAACAGGCGGCAGCCACTCAGAGGTCCTCGGCGATGCAGGCGAGGTGCGGCTGCCACGGCGCGGCGTGGCTGCCGGTGCTCATGCGCCGCCGATGCTGCTGCGCCGCCGCCCTCTTGTGCTGTTGCTTCTTCTTGGCGGCGGGCGCGGGCGCCTCCTTCTCCGGCGGCGACTCGGCGCCGAGCCCCAGCTGCCGGTCGGTCACTGCAGCGACGACGCTGCCTTCCGACTTGCTGCGCACGTGCCGGCTCGCCGTGCCAGCACCGCCGGCGGCGGCCTTCTTGGCGTCGGGCACGGACGCGGCCGGGATGAGGAAGTAGATCTCCCCGCGCTCCAGCTCCGAGTCCGGCGACACGATGAGGATCCTGCGCACCACCCCCTGCGGCGACGAGCAGGGCCTGCTGAGCACGTGGTTGGGGTGCGCCGCCAGCACCTCCCCGGCCGACACGGCGCGGCCGTACTCGTCGACGCGGCCGCTGAGGTGCACGATCCGCACCAGGTCCAGCGCGCCGCACGGCAGCACGCACGCCAGGCAGCACCGCAGGCTGTTGCCCATGCCGCCGCGCCTCGTCGTGTTCGGTGCCGCGCCTGCGCGCGCCCGGCTTCCTCTTCTCTTTCTGTCCTCACGGCGTGACGACGCGGCCAGCACGTATATATAGTTGGTGAGCTCGAGTTGAGGACAAACAGAGAGCCAGAAAATGTACTTTGGGGTGACTAAGGCCTCATTTGGTAGGGCTTCTCTAGCGACTTCAGGAGCCGCTTAGAGCCGTTTTCTGTCAAACGGGGTAAAATAAAACGGCTTCACCGATGAAGCCCCTAAAAACGTGCTCTCACAAAGCTTTGGGGTGGGAAGGAGAAAAAAATAGTGGCTTCTCTCGGCTTCACCTCATTCTACATGGCGTTCTCTGAGAGCATATTTTAAGAAAAACTATATGTAAAGCTGTTTTGCCAAACGATTTATCAAAACGGCTACAGCTCCACCCATAGAGCTGTTCATGGAGCTGAAGCCCAAAAAAGGATTTCATGAGTGAAGTGAAGCCGTGCCAAACGGGCCTAAGGGGCCTAAGACTAACCCATAGTGGGACACAGAGAGACGAGAAGAATGGATTAATCACGTCATGTTTTTCCCCCTTCTTGCGAGGAATAATTGACTAGTAACTAGCAAACAAATAATAATGTAGTAGGTTAATTAGTAGTGCCCATGTTCCGATAATCATTTTTATTTTGTTTTCTGTTTCGGAGGCAGCGGATGCGCCAATGATTCGCACACGGCAGCACTCATGCGCACAGCCATGCTGCCCTGCTGGAGCTTGGTTGTACTGTATCCTTCCTCTTCCTCCTCACTGACTGTATTCAGTAGCCCTGCAATGCAAGCGACGCGACGAAGCGAGGACGAGTGTGAACGCGCCATTGGATGGATCATGGATGCCAGAGATTGGGCTCTGAATTATTCAGGCATTTTTTTATAGGGAATAGAAATATTATTAGAGCGGAGTTATGCGTGTACATACAGTACTGCTGCTTGTGATTGATGTTTGGTACACGTACTACGTACTTGTACAAATGCTCCAAAACGGACCCGGCCGTGCAACGTCTTTTTCGTGAGCAGTGGGTGATCATTTGGGGGGCAATGTTGTAGGGGCGGGTTAAGTTACCTGCTGGCTGGAGTGGCAGCTGCTGTGGTAACCTCTGTCCTCCGCCAGATCCAACAGTTGATCAGCAGCCAGGAATCATTAGTGCGGTAATCATAGGATGGTCTTACAGAAATTGACAGCTTCCGTCTGTGTGAGCTGTGAGTGTGTCCGAGGTACGTACGCTCGGGCAGGTGGTACGGTAACGTGCCAAGTGGCAAGTGAATGGAACTTGCTAGTAGCAGTAGCAGTAGCACTGTAGCAGTACCTGTACCTGTACCTTGCCTTACCATACTTGTGCATGTCGTGGCCGCACGTGGGGGGCTTCCATGCAAACAGTATTACCCTCAGAAACAAGTGGCCCTCCCATGATCCCATCCGTCCACCGATCCGATCCGTCGCGACACCATCACGACACGTGGCCGGCCGGCGCGGTCCCCCGTCCACGCGGGCGTTGTCACCTGTCGATCGAGCGGATGCGCCGGTACACCGAACACGTTCCCAAGTTCTTCTCCACGAATCGGCATCGCGATCCAGGACGGGACGCGCCCGTGTCCCACGGACCACGTGTGAGCGCGTCGACCTCCACAACTTGGCTTCCAGTCGGCCAGTCCGTTCCTGGTGGACTACAGCCATGGCCACGGCCCACGGCAACATGATGGGCTAACGCGTGCGGTCTCCAGTGCCTGAGCCCAGCTACCACCGGGCTTTTCAGACGGGCCACACGCACAAACTCCGGCCTGCGTACTACTACTCCCACATCGTAAAAGCAGCCCATGAGGACTGAGGAGGAGAACTCTCTCTCTCTCTGCAAAGGCGGTCGGTTCCGATCGCCGTGCGACTGACCGACCCGACGACGCCGCAACGCTACCTGCCCTTCCTCGCGCTCGACTCACCGGCCCGCGTCGTAAAGGACTAAAGGCGGTGGTTGCGTTCCATGGCACGCCTTGCCGTTCTTGGCTGCTCACACCCGATGCGTCGCGAGCCGCGTCTTCCGCGAGTGCGCGGTCGTTCATCTCCATCTCTTTCGGCCTTTTCTGCGAGTGATCTGATCTTTCATATGAACAAATAACTAACCTAGCATGGATTCCTACGCATTTGCATTGTAATTACTATAGTCACGAATGAATGGCTCCACGTCTACTGTCATTCACCTTCAAGTAGTCATTTACATTCTTCGGTCTGTACATGAATATGTCGTTATTAAATGCGTAGCATGAAAGTTCTTGAAGTGCTCACAACTACACAAGCGAACGCAGTACTAGAGAATTTGCAGGAAATTCGCCTTTGTTTGGTTAATTAAAATCAACCTGCAACGTTTTGATCACCAACTACGTTGTGCACGTTGACTATAAGCACTAGAAAATTCTATGGGCAGTCCTTTTAAAAAAAAAAATAGTTTCATAATCATAGAATTTGAAAGAAAATACTAGTTATTATCAAATTATATGCACTTTTCCTATCTACCAGGTGCCTGATTTCCTTTAATCCGTCCAGGCGACGTAGCAGCTGTTGATCGTGTTTTGTTTTTTGTGCATGATCAAACTCTCTGATGGAATCAACAGCTCTACAGTGTCGCCTAAGAGGTGGCTACTTTTCAGGCACCAATAAATTAGCATCTCCTGATTATATGGGTAACTCTGTTCTCTTAAAATATGGATTCATTCTGAAATGCTTGACATTTAATTTTGTCCATTTTCACCGTATGCAATTTCACAAAAAAAATCAATTTTAACATTTTAAATAAAATGTACAGACAATAATTATCGCTAGTTGTGGTGGTTGGAACTAAATCCAGCCAATTCAATTGGCTTTCAACCGGAACAAATAGCCGAAGAGTCAACCGCAGCTGCTGCCGCCAGCTGATCCGGCGGGAGAGATACATTTACAAAATTTTAGCATGGGATTTTTTTTAAAGAAACCGATTATATAAAGAAAATAAAATTTTTCCACAGCAGGCTGAGGTTCTACCGTTGCTCAACTCAAAAGCCCGGTGGTGGCTGGGCTGAGCCGCTCAGGCCCAGGAGCGCAGGCTAGGCAACCCAACGCACCGTCGCCCTTCCCGTTCCGCACCCGCGCCGCCTCCCTCCCACACGCGCACTCGCGGCTCGCGCAGGCAAGGCGCCGCCGCCGCTCAGCGCCGAGAGGAGCAGCGCCGTCGCTCAGCGGCCGCCGGCGACGAGCCTCCGCGGAAGCCAGCGTCCCTACCGGCGAGGCAGCGAGTTCTTCTTCCTTCTCCACCGACGGGACAGCGCGTGGATCCGGCGACCTCTGGGCTCCGGCGAGGCGGCGACGGCGAGTGGTGACTGCTGATAGGTGGTGAGTTTATTTGCCTTCTGTCTCAGCCCTTCCTTAGTTTATTTGACTCAATTTCTTCTTATGCGAGCTGATGTATTTTGAGTGCAGCTAGAGCGTCCACGTCGACCATTGCCTACTTGGAAACTGGAACTGGGCTGAGCGGATGTAGGCCGTTCGAATTCCAATCGCAAGGTCTGCTCTCCTTTGACGTCTCCTTCGTCAAGGGCTTCCATGTCGGAGACTGAATCGGCGGCAGTGGCAGCGACGCCGGACCCGGCGGCTGCAGCGGAGCCGAAGCCTCGGCGGCTGCGGGGGCACAAGAAGGGCGCCGTCACCTGCTGCGTCGCCTCCTCCGCCCGCCCGGGTGTCGTCGCGTCCTCCGGCGAGGTAGGCGTTTCCATCACGCTGCTCGTCTACTCTTCCGAGAACAAACACTGTGCCGTACGATGACTCGGTGTCCTTCTTCGGGAGTTGTTACAAGGGCGCCCCGTGGTCCATGGGCGTCGGCCAATAGTTGCAGTGCAGGCCATGGTGTCTTTCGCTGAGGACACGAGCCGAACACCTCATGTGCAGTGGTCGCTGGTTAATTGGTGCTCGGTTGAGACATTTTGTCGGTCGGGTGGCAAACCATGCGCTGACTGCACATCGAGCTAAGCGTGTTGCCAGAACAACGAACCGCACCTTGCGTGCTCCTCCTTGCATTCTATTAACGCACTGGATGGAATATCCTGTGTGGGATTAGTAACATAGATGATTCTTTCGAGTGTCCAGTGACCATTGTCTCCATCAAAGTAAACTATCTGGTAACAATCTTTTAAGGTTATGCCATGCCCCATGTCCCCATGCCTTTTTGTGATTTTATCCATTATATCCATTCGGTATCACAGTTTCATTACATGTTTCATGCTATGTTGAAAGCACCAGTAGGAACTAGGAAGAGATGAGATTTTCATGCGGTAGTATACTGGTAGGCAGAGAAGAGAAGGCAATCCATCACTAACTACTTGGTCACTATGCTGGAAATTCTGGTATCATAGGGTAGTTGGTGCTCTCCTTGTGTAGGTCTCCTTTTTAGCGACTTCCAATGGCGTGTTTTCATGAAGAGGGAGAGTTTTTCATGAAGAGGGAGAGAAACAAATAGCGATTACAAGAACTAGGTAAGCCATGGCTTACCCAGAGAAAAAGGGACCCAAGAGTATTTTTAAGGACTGTGCATAGTTAATTCGCGACTGGATTGACCTGGGGTCTAAACTGAAACCCATGCTAAAAGGTTTAGTAACAAGATTCGACAAAGCCCAGAGAGCTGAGAAGCCTGCTGAAATCCAAAATTCAGCTTCCTCCACAATTGCATGGGTGAGCACAGTTAGCGACGGAGCGACCACAATAGTTATCTGAAAACTCTCATTTCTCTCCTTCCATAGCAGCCAGGTAACCAGCAGCACCAAGCAGTCAAACCCTTCCCTGAATTGTTTGTGCACCTTCTTTCTAGCTATCTGCCACCATTGTGCAATTGTAGACTCAGGGCGTGGTACAAGGTGTGATAGGCTTCCCTACGAAAGCAGGCACCACCAAACCTCCCGACTGTAACAGAAACCAAGAAGAAGATGATCAATGGATTCTAACTCCTGACTGCACAACGCAAAACTCATGGTCCCTGCAGCTTATGACGCTTCCTGTGTTGCGCCGTCCAGCAACGATCTTGGAGGACTAACCAAACAAAAAACTTAAGTTTGGGAGGCGCTCTAACTTTCCAAAAGTTCTTTTGCACCTGCCATGTAAATTGCTCCAATGAAGATTGCTCTGTACGCAGAAGACGCTGAATACTGACAGTCTGCAGACCAGCGACAAATAAATTGTTCTTCCGCCCTGGCTGAAGAGAGAAAGCTTCTACTTTCTCCCAGATATCCAAATATTCTTGCATTACCTGTACCTTCAGAGCACCTTGAATTTTTGAAACCCAGTGGTGATCAGTGATTCCTTCATGCACATTCATACTGTCACATCTCTTTGGGACCGCATGAAAAAAGCTTGGTGCCACGTGCCTAATTGAGGAACCATCAAGCCAGGCTCAGAAGATCAACCCAAGTACGATCTGGGTCAGTTCTGTGAAGCCATTGCCACCTTAATCTGAGGGCACACCCAAAGAGACAGAAATCCTGGAAACCTAGGCCACCAAGCTCAGTAGGGTGACAGATCAATCTGTTCAATGGCCCATACCGACAAACAGGTGGCAATGGAGATGAATATTGGAATTGCAGAGTGTGTGACATTCACCAAGGTTGCCCGCCCAGCTAAATTTAGCATGTTGCCCTTCCAAGTGGGAATTCTATCCACAATCATGTCCACCAATGGCTGTTCCTTGCTGTGTTCAAGCTTGTAGATCGAGAGAGGAACACCTAAGTAGTGACAGGGGAAAGGAGCAATCTGACAGCCTAAAATCTCCTGACCGAAGGCAAGTTCAGCCATGGAGCACCAGATGGGTGTCACCTGGCAGCTGGCACTTGTCCAGGTTGGTCCGAAGCCTGGTCAGTGGTCACCCCCTCGTCGAATGTACCCAGAATGCTTCTGAAGTCAAGACCAAAAAAATCCCATTGAAGTGGAGCGACCAGGACCACGAGATCATCTGCACCAGATGCTTGGCACGTGATGGCACTATGGCCCAGTGGCTTGAGAATATCACATTGTTCCGCCAAACAAATCAATGCATTCAGCACCTCCATGACAATAACAAAGATCATTGGCGACAATGTCACCCTGGCACAGACCTCTCGCATGGCCGATCCGCCTCCCAGTCCGTCCGTTTAACAAAATCTTCATGCTTGTTGTTGACAAAATAAATATAAATCCAATCTTGTCATCCTTGTAGTGCTCCTTTAGCTCAAAATTTTCCTCACCAGCGGTGAGGCTATTGCAGTAATCTTATGCATATGATTTGTACTATTTGCCTCCCTTCCCCCGTTTTTCAAGCCCTTGGTGGGTTAATTGTCATGTTCTCATGTCTTATCCTACCGCCTCAGGATGGATGTCTTTGCTGGTTTGATCTGCGCACCAAAGATGTACTTTTGACCATGGAGGCAGCAAATAAACCAATTTCTTCAATTTGCTTTAAACCAGGTCAGTATGCCATCCAAATACAAGCATCTTTGTATGTTAATCCATGAATTGAATATTTGGTGAGCGTGCAGACATTTTGCACTTACAAAATCATTATTTGTGTAGGAAATGAAGATTGTGTGTATATCTCTGCTGGAAATGAAATATTGTCCTTTGATGTTCGTATGGTAAGTTCAGAATTCAATTGTATTTTTATTGTTAGTTTGAAGTTATATGATCCAACTTACTATTATGTTGCCTGTGCCTTGGTTTCTTGTCAGTAACATGATTACAGTGGTTTTCTTATAGGGAACTCAATCAAAGCCATTAGAGACGTATAACTACAATAGAGATGAAATCAATCAGGTAGTATGCTCTTCTACAAAACCACTATAAAATATCCTCCTACTGTGATCTTTCTCCTACATTCAATTCTAGGCTTTATGATAACATTGAATTGAGCTAAAGATTCAGAATCTGATACTTTCACTTTTGATGCAGATTGCTGTCAGCTCTAAAGGTTTTCTCGCTGCTGCAGATGATAGTGGGGATGTTAAGGTATAGAATATTAAGTGTATGAACATAAATGTCAAAGATCATTGCATTTTAACAAATATCAAATACCACATTCTCCAGATTTTGGTGTTGGCTATTTTGAGGTTGTTGCATGAATGTTTTGAAGGGGAGCCTTGGCGCAGTGGTAAAGCTGCTGCCTTGTGCCCATGAGGTCACGGGTTCAAGTCCTGGAAACAGCCTCTTGTAGAAATGCAGGGAAATGCTGCATAAAAGACCCAAGTGGTCGGACCCTTCCCTGACCCTGCATGCTGGAGCTACGTGCACTGGTGCTGCCCTTTTTTTTTTTTTACTGTTTTTCCTGCTTAAGGTATATAAGCATATTGTATGGAATTTATTTTGGAATGTTCTGTTTCGAAAATGGCACAAATGATGCTCCTGAAGAATAAGTTTGCTGTAAGATCGTTTGTCATTATGAATTCAAATTTACCGGCTTATATATTTGTGCTTTGTTCTGAAACCAAGAAGAGGTTGTTGTGTTACACTTTTTGAATTGCATGTAGATTGCTAGAGGGTTTGGGAACTGGAGAACAGTAGAATAAATGCCTCGAGTTAGAAGAAAGATATGTGCAACACACTGATAGGCATGATTAATCTTGTACTTGTTCAATGATTTTGTTCTTGAGAAGTTATGGTCTATTTTGCAGATTGTCAATACCATTCAGAAGTGCCTGTATAAAAGAATAAGGGAAGCCCACACAAGTGTATCCTTATCTGGTGTAACTGGATGCTTTTGATAATTTTTATTTGTAGTAGCGTTCCATTTTTATGTTTAAAAATGTGCAATAAGTTCCTCTCTATATGCAATATGTACGTCAGTTGTTCCTTGATAAATTTTCGTACAGATTTGCAGCAGCGTGCAATTCATTCCTTGGAGACCTTGGACAGGTTAGTGTTATCATTTTCTTTTTCTTTTTTCAGGGTTTTGTTTGGCTTAATCTTGTAGTCTTGTGGCTCCTTTTTTGTCAACCATTTAGGGAGCCAATCCTAGAAGACTTTGTTGGATTTTTAATTCTTATTTTTTTTCAATGCCTTTATTGTCAATAATAAATATTTTTCATTTGGCAGCAATTACTGGTGGTCTCGACTCAAAGCTCGTTGCATGGGATTTCTCCAAAGGACGAACACTGTTTTCTATTGATTATGGTACCCCCTTTACTTTCCATGGAACACCTGTGAATAACGTGCATTACTTAGACTGCTCCATGTTCTTTTTGTCGTTGTAAAAGAGTATCCTAGCAGTTCCTTGATCTCATACATTTCCATTAAGCATTGGTAAATTGAGCCTCATATTGTCCATTGGAAAGTCGGTTCACTTTGCTTTACATAGAAATATTAGTTTCTGTTCATGTATTGCTTTTCACCTCAAAATACTCTCCAATTCGGATCAATCAACAATTCAACATAATATTCATTACTGAGTTTCAGGATCACCTGAATTGCAAAATGGCAGTTCTTCCGGTAGTGCAGGGCAATGTTTCAACCCTGCTTTTGTTCATTCAGTAGAAGTTTCTGAAGAGGGTATTTTGGGAGGGCTCTACAAGGTTTGTGCTGTTGCAAGGGGGATGGTGCTGTTGATGTGGTTGATCTTGAGTATGAACTGGCTCCTCATGAAATCGAAGGGAGCTCCTCGGGCAGCTATTTCAAAATGAGTTCAAAAGGAGCTGAACTTGGAGATGGGAGCTGTAATCAAAGTCAAGTTTAAAAGAATCCATCTTGACTACACGATGGGTGGCCATACAGCAGCTGTGTCTTGTGTGTAAGTCCCTTCATTTTGTCAATGTATCAGTTAAATATCTCATTATATGCAGCTCTCTTGTGTATTGAGGCTTAATCTTGTTTTCTTGAACTAATCAACTGCTTAACAGAGCATTTTCAGTATTTGGTGAGAAGGGAAGTTCCTCGTTTCTGGCGGCAATGATTCATCAGTGAAGCTGTGGGATTGGTCCAAAGGATTTTCCTCTGAAACAAACAGCAAAGTTGAATTGGTTTTGAATATTGATGTAAAGAAAAGGTCAAGACTGAACCTTCAATTTTTGCAACTATTGTGATGTTGTCTCTTTTTGTCTTTGACTATTCATATGTACAGCTGATAACAAAATATAGAAATCTATATAATAAATGGGTTTTTGTATTTTAAAAGATGAAGTTCTTAGGCTCAGTAAAAAAATTCATGATGACCTCTGTTTTGGCAGGTAAATTGGCTGTGTACTGCTCCAACTGATTCAGATAACTTGGTTGTGTGTGACACATCCAAGGTGGTCAAAATATATAATTTCCGATAGATGGATCAAGGTGTAGCCTCAGTTTGTCAGACTGTTATCCGAGGGAGTGAAGATTGTCTGACCGTTGGAACCAATTTGGTCCTGACTCTGGTATCCAGATATTAGAAGCCTGGTGCAGATAGTTCCTGAATTGAGAAGTCATTGGTTAGCAGTTCGCAATATCAGTTATGGCGTGGAACGAATCTGATAAAGTATCGATTATTCTGTTACTGGCGGATCTTATTTTGTTCCGATATATGTGTACAATACAACTTCCACAGGCTGCTAGCTAGACTTATCTTTGTTGTATGGTGAAATGAATTTACGTGTTTGGAGAAAAGAAGGCTTGTTTGTGCTGGAAGGCATTATCTTTTTTGTTTCTATATATTATAGCTGTTATTTCTCGATATGGTGCTGCCTGTGGCAGCACATATAACCAAGAACCAAGGAAGATGCATGACGAATGTTTTTCTGCGCTATAATGTGTTAATGACGGCCTGTTGAACTATCTCTGAAGGATCTCTCTGTTGCACTCTTGGGCAACTTGTCAGTCTCAGTGGTTGCAAACTCTTGTTGTACCCATGGAAATTGGAAACTGGAGGAAGAAGAGGAGTTCAAAGCTTTCTGTGACATGTCGTGATCTTGGTGTGGCTGTGCTGGACTGGATAGCTTTCTGGATTAGGTTGCCCATTTGCCTTTTGCCCCTCACATTTTATACAAACTTAAACAAAGGAGCACATGAATTGATAACACATTTTTGCAGTCTTTCCCAACAATTGCTCAGAAAGTTCTATCTTGTGATGAGGAGGGTATTTCTGCAAAAATTCCAGGTCTGTATCATCTTTCATTTGCATGTGGTCAGGAAGTGGATAGAAGCAGGCCTGAAACTGTCTCCATTGGAAGACAGGAACCAGGGGTTGTGCTGCTGTTCTTGGAGGAGAAAGAAGAGAAAAGAAATGGGAGGCTTGCTCTTGCCGCATCACCAAACCTTTCCAAATTCTTTGCAAGCTGCCATCCCGGGATCTCTCTCTCTTCACAAAGGTGACCGCAAAAACCTTCATTACTTGACAGTTGGTAGGCCTGATTTCGCAATCTTTGAAGCTTTTATGGTGAAAAAATAGTGTTTGCAGAATCTCTCGTTCTGCTCTTTGGCAAACAAAAAATAACGATGAGAAAAAAAACAGCGTGCATGGATCAACAGTTCAGCACCTGACTGAAGCTGCAGTGAACTGCACGCTATCGCAAAATGGAACTGAGAGTTCAGCAATGTATCTTGACGCAGTCACTGAACTTGCAGGTGTGCACCTCTTCTGTTCTCCGCGGCAAGGCTTTCCACGCTCATTTTGGTCGGCCCTCATCAGATCAGAAGCCAACGGGAACGGCGTGGCGTCGCCAGACATGGTCAGCAAGCATAGCAAGGAGGAGCTCATTGCTTTCTTCAGAGACATTCAGACCTCCATTGCCGAGAGCTCGCCTAAAGCTTCCAAGAGGACGAGGAAGCAGCCACCTGATCCGTTAAAAGAGGTTCACAGGAGGGAGCAGTCACACGGTATGTCCAAGCCGAACGATGCTGGAGTTGAATTCTTTTCTGAAATGGGCGTATTACAGCTCATTAGTCCTCCTGCAAGCACATGCTGTTTCACTGTTTGTTTTCTAACTCTAGATCATACATGCTTTTTATCATGTTGTGATGTGAATTGATCATCACAAAGCATAGGTAGAGGAGACGGTGGCGCCGGCGATGTTTCAGAGGAACGACAGAGGAAAGTGATGAATCTGGAGGACATGAACGTGGCCGACTTGAGAGAATTGGCGAGGGCGAGAAGGATGAGGGGTTACTCCAAGCTAAAGAAGGGCGAGCTCATTGATCGGTTGAAAGGGGTTATGCAATAAACCTCACCATCCTAGTGGGAATCACAATAGAAATACTCGTAATTGTGTGGTGAAGACTAAGAGCAGTTTCGCAGTTAACATGTTCTTGTTGCCAACTTTTCGAACGTACGACGAGATTACCAACAGAAAAATGTATGATATGGTATGTCCTTCATGCCAAGTGTACTGTACTACTGTTTCTATAGAGTAAATTCACATTGGTAAGAAGAAGAACGACGTTGATGTGAACAGCGATAGTAGTTGAATTGTTGTGCTATGCCAAAACTTTTGGTTTCAATTTTTTGGAGAAATGGTGTGAATTAATCCTAACTTGACCAGAAGCTAGGCATGTCAGTTGTGAGTTGCAACAAGGATCACACATACAGCCATACATACTCCTTCCCTTCCAAAACGTAGGTCGCTTTGTTATGTCCGAAATTTTGTTTCTTTATTTAAATCAACCATGAAATATGTCTTTATACTATGTTTGTTTGGAATTTGATATAGGGTTATTTTATAAACTCAATCAAAACAAAAGAAGCCTGACTTATAAAAAAATTAAAATGGCCTGTGTTTTTTTGGGATGAAGGGGTTGGAAACAAAGAAATCAATACAGGAAAGGATCTCCCGACACTGTTTTGTAACCAAAACCTTGATTGTTTTGACGCACATGACCATTTTTGCAGTGTGAATTAGTCATTAGAAGCTAGGATAACATGAGAAACAAACTAAAACCTCCAGATTAAATACTTTCTTTATCACTAAACTTCAACGTGGCCAGCTGATTTACTGAATGAATTGGTAAATACACATTTATAGTATATAAACGTTTACATGTTTTTGCATTTCACATATCCGTTGTAGTCTACTCTCTCCGGCCGAGAATACAGAGCATTCAAATGATGTCTCAAAATATTTGACGTTATAGCTCTGCTCATAGGCCACACAGCCTACTCCATCAGTCATCTGTCAAATCGTTGTCCTCTGAGGTGCATCGCGAAATGTGAAAAGTTGGGCCACGTTTAGGCCCCGTTTAGTTGGCTCCAAAAGCCAAAAAATTTTGCACAGTAAATGTCACATCGAATCTTGCGGCACATGCATGGAGTACTAAATGTAGACGAAAAAAAAAACTAATTGCACAGTTGGGTGAGAAATCGCGAGACGAAACTTTCGAACATAATTAGTCCATAATTAGACACTAATTACCAAATACAAAAGAAAGTGCTACAGTACCCAAAACCCAAAAATTTTCGGATCTAAACGCGCCCATAGTTCAAAAACCAAATTTCCAAAAAATGCTACAGTAACCATCACATCGAATCTTACGATATGTGCATGGAGCATTAAATGTAGACGAAAAAAACTAATTACACAGTTTGGTTGGAAATCGCGAGACGAACGTTTTGAGCCTAATTAGTCCACGATTGAACATTAATTGCTAAATAAAAACGAAAGTGCTACAGTAGCCCAATTTCCAAATTTCACCCAACTAAACAGAGCCGTGATTTGCCGTTTGAACGATCGTGGATTATAAACGAATAATATTTTTTTTCTCACACCAAACCAACTAACGGTAATAATTCACGAACCAGTAGCTCCAGCCGAACAGGCTGAAGTTTATAGGGGTAGCTAGGTATTTTATTTGTAACCTTATAGAATGCAACATTTGCTATAATGTCTTTGTTCGTTTCTCTTATAATCCGTATTTTTTTAGCTTACTCCTTCCGTCCCACGATACTAGTCGTTCTAGAAAACGGTGTGACTACCAATGATTATGGCAAAAGACCTGCATGCCCCTACTATGTCCAGTCCTCCCTTCATCCCCACACGTTATTTCCTCTCCTGTGTTCCGCTTTGCTCAGATCCGGATTTCTCTGGCTCCGGTGCTCCTGGCCACGCGCACTAGAGGGAGGCGTCGGTGGAGAAGAGGGAGAGCGCCGGTGTTGGTGGCGACCGGCGGGGGAGGCGTTGGCGGCGGAGGCGACGACCGGTAGATGGGCGGTTGGCGGTGGCGAGTGGTACCAGCGGAGGAAGACCTGCGGCTGCGCCTCCTCCTTGCCCGGCGGCTGCGCCTGCCTAAGGTTGCGGCACCCTGGATCTCGAGCTGGGCGTCGACCTCGGCTGTGCCTGGATCTGGGCGGTGCAGTGGATGAGGGAGAAGGAAGGCGGCGGCGCCCGCTCAGAATGCGCCGCTCGACGTCGGCTGCTCCACCTCCGTTCTAGATCGGCCGCTCGGAGACGACCACTCCGCCTCGACCGCTGCTCCGTGTGGGAAGAGGACGGGTGCGGCGATGGTGGTGGGATGGAATCGTGAGCACCACGCCAGGGACGGGATGGAAAGGATAAAGCCTCCTCCCAACCATCTATTTTTTCATTTTTTTATTCATAAAAGTGGGCAGTGGAGGATATAGAGATGATGGATGGGGTCGGTTCATAGAGTGGGACCCACCCTATACAAGCTAAAACGTCTTTCTTTGTGGTACTTTTTTAATGCTAGAACGTCCTCTATAAAGGGACGCAGGGAGTATTTTTTTAGCTAGAATAGTATCTTTTTCTTATAATAAATTAGTCGGAACAGTATTTTAACTTATTTTTAGCGATGTCTTTTATTACGGGACGGAGCGAGTAACCCGACAGACCTGAGTTCTAGTTCCGGCGATGGAATCTTTTTTTTTCCCTAGTAGAGGCCCGAGACTCCCTGAATCCTTGTACTTTTTTTAAAATTTATACACTGAGTACTCCCTTCATACTAAAAAAAATGAAGCATCCACCGCCGGCCCCGAGACTCCCTGAATTTATATACTGAGTACTCTCTCCATACCAAAACCACTTTATTTTTTTTAAGTACGGAGGGAGTACCTTGCATGCGCTCCTGGGCCTGAGCCCTGCCCATCCACCACCGGCCTTTTGAATTGGGCAGAGCTCGTCGGTACGTGCTACCTCCGGGGCGCTGCCGCGCGAGGGCGAGGCGATCGAACTAGCAGTGGTTCTAGCTGCATCCCCCGATCAACCCCGCCCCCGGCGCCCAAGCACGTAAGCGATCCCTTCCCCCTGCTTCTCGCCTCGGTCTGGACGCGATGGGTGCTGGTTGACCCCCGTTTTGGTGGGGTTTAAGGCGGGTTTTGTGGTTGTGGTTGGGAGGATGCGGGCACGGGTTGGCGCTCGCTTGCCTGTTGGAGCGCAGCGGGCGATGCGGCGCCGTTTTGAGCGGTTTCGGGGCTAGGGTTTGGGGGAGATGGGGGCTGAATGCGCCAGCCTGGGTTGGGTTGCAACGGGTTGAGGTGGTTCTGAACTTTGGGCAGTTGGGGTTGGGATTTGCGGGCTTTGTAAGAGCGGAGCTGCGATTGGACGTCTTCCTGCGAGGCGTTTGTTGGTTTTCGCGTGTATTTTTCCTGGTCTGCTTTTAATGTAGTTCGTTAGGGGGACATTGCCGGAATTTTGTGTATTATTTTTTCCTTTTTTTTCAGACCTGCATTTGTTGCAACAGTTAATCGCTTATGATTCTGGTGCAGCTTGGCTACCTGAAATTGCTGGAGTTTTGGTATTTAGGGAGCTGGGTATTTGGGAGGCCAGAACTGTTGTATTATTTATTTTGTTTTTAATTGTTTGCGTATCACAAAGCATGTGTGCGTGGTTCACTGAAACTGGGGAATGATTCCACTTTTCTGTGTGGTTGGCGAATGCTGTGGAGTACTTGAGTAGCCTTTTGACTTCTGTTCTGCCCAGGTGCAGAATTTAACATGGTGGCTTGCTAGATGGCTCACCTGATGATGAGATGTGTATCAGCAGTGATTTTCATGACCAGCATGACAGAAAGCTGGGTTGTTATTTTTGTGCTATGAATTATTATTATTTTTGTTATTCCAGGTGGTGATCCAATTGCATATTATATGGAGTCTTTGAATTCCTTTGGTTACTTATTTTGTTTCATTATGGATTATTGAATTTGGTATTCCTAGTTTACCTGCATCAGCATGTATAATGTCCATACTTGTTCAACTTTCAAGTTTTATCAAAGAATGGACGTTTTATGAACATTTGAGATGAGGAACAACTCTTACTGAAGCAAACATACCTATGAACTAGTAACTGGGAGTCCATGATTCTTTAGATTTTCTTTTCCACTTTCCTGTTAGTAGATGTTCTGTACATTACTTCCCTTTTTATCTGCCCTTTGCTTCTCCTTGGTGGCTTCGTGGTCCTAGTGTGTTACTGGTTCCAAATATATTTTTAGACATTTATTACTCCATATTACTCTGTGTTGCTACCTATGGTGAATTATCTCAGTAACGATTTTGTTTGTCCAACTTGCCCCTGCATGTATGCTGTATGCATATTAATGTTGCCATTTTGCACGTTTTTTCATGATTTCCAAAGAATGGGTGCTGGAAGGAAGACTGAAACTTTCTATGCTGCAACACCAAGTGCACAGACACAAAATCGAAGCAATGAATGGTATGGAGCCTTTTCTGTTGCTGCCCGTAATCTTCGGGAAGATGAGCTAGGAGGAGTGATTTTTGGCTGCAAACACAACACCATGAATGAATGCCTCTCAAAACAGCTGTTTGGTTAGTAAATTCCTTTCCACCTTTTTCTTAACTAGCAATTCCTTTTCCACCTTATAATGCAACGCCGCTACTGCAATTAAATCATCACCCCCATAAAACTATAAACTGTCATCCTGACATCAGTTCTTAGCTTTTTGGAACATTGAAATCTCGTCAGTATTTTGTTCAATAGGTTTGCCTTCAAGCCATTTCTCATATGTGAAGAATGTTAAACCTGGCATGCCCCTATTTCTGTTCAATTATAGTGACCGAAAAATGCATGGAATTTATGAGGCTGCATGTGCTGGCAAGCTTAACATTGATCAATTTGCTTGGAGTGATGGTGGTAGAATAAAGACACAATTTCCTGCACAGGTATCATCAAATAAGAATCCTTCCATTTATGCAGCACCATACCCATGTATGTATGGTTAATCTGGTCATAGGTTCATAAGCTTACTGACTCGTGAGTGACTTGTGTATTTTGAAGGTCCTCATCTCCATGAAAACTCACTGCTTTCCAGTTCCAGAGTCTCAATTCCAAAGTGTGATCCGTGGCAATTATTACAGACCTCGTCACTTCTTCTTTGAGCTAGACCATGAACAAACAAGAGCTTTGATATCTTTGTTTAAGCCTGCCCTGTTCATGATGTTCCAAACAAATGGGATCCTTCCAGATCTATGCAATCCCCAACAGTCAAGCGTATGTTAATCCTGGTCATGTGAAGCCTGAGTCCTATATAAAGGATCTCAATCCATTTGATGTTTCTTCTGAATCTCATTGTATTGACCCTTACAAGTTGGTTGATCCAGATGGTGAATATGCTAGTGCGAGTAGAACATCAACAAGCCACCTTGACGATGAGTCTTCTAACTGGGATGATTTAGATGATGTTGCGACCAAGGAAGGAACTGAATTTGTCAATGATGACCATCCACATATTAATCCACAACATAATGAACAGTATGTCACAGTGGCTGTTAGGCAGAAACTACAAGAGATGTCTGTTTTACGACAGCAGGAGGCTCAATCCTCCGAGGACACTGTTGATTCTGCTTCAAATAAACCAATGCCTCAAGAACCACAGTTTGATGCCACACTCCCCACAGACCCATCTGATTCCACCTCAAAGGGTGATGTACGTATTGAAGACCTGAAATCATTAGGGCAATCTCGTGGAAATGCTGAGGTGCTTTAAGCTATTCCATTCTATTGCTTTCTCTTTCACAGAAATTACTTTCAGATTACGCTCCATATTTTCAACTGTATTATTTGTAATGTTTGCTATGGCAGTCCTATCTGATATGTCTTGTTGTCTGTAGCTGCTTCACATCGTCAAAGAGCTATCCAAGAGGAACCAAGCAATGGAGAAAAACTGGTACTGCTCTTCTTGACCGTTTAGGTGGAAAAATGAATGCCCTGTTCGCTTGGCTTATAAGCCGTACTTTTTCAGCCAACGAATATTATTTTTCTCTCACAACAAATCAGCCAACAGTACTTTCGGCCATGGCTTATCAGCCAAGCGAACAGGGCAGAAAGCATTATTATCCATTAGAGTATAAATAGATAGATTATTTTACTTTCCTCATTGGCTCCGGATCTACATTAGCATATCTGTGGTTATTTGGATTTTGAAGTTAGCTCAAATGTTCAATAGAATTATGGAATTACATATGATATGTGTACCCTGTAGATGTGGTCGATGCCGAGTTATGTGGTATTGATGCATGGTATATGTGTAATCTCCCTCCTAATTGTGGTTCTTCTATCTACCAGTTTGAGTCAGATAAAGAAATACTGTTTCTGAGGGAATCGATGAAGGACACAGGAAGGAGAATTCAGGAACTGGAATACCAGTATGAGAAACTACAATCAAACTATAACTCTTTGGTCCCACTCCTTGGTAGTCCACATGATAATATGGAAGGACCATCAATATTCCTAATAGGTGGCTACAGGGGCAGTACTTGCCTGTCATCGCTAGATTCCTTTTGCCCTAAGACAGACAGAGTAGTGCCTCTGTGTTCAATGAGGTCAGCCCGTGCATATGCAGCAGTAGCTGCATTGAAGGATCATCTCTATATTTTTTGTGGTGGGGATGGCAGTTCATGGTATCACACAGGTAAATGTTCAAACATGATCAAGTGTTTTATATAAGTTCCAAGCTGTTGACTATCTGCATTCCTTTTATTGAAGTGGAATGCTACAGTATGGGCAGTAATAAATGGATAACATGCCCCGCTTGAAACATGCAAAAGGAAGCCTTGCTGGAACTACATTGAATGATAAAATATTTGCTATTGGTGGTGGAGATGGGTCTGCAGTTTTCTCAGAAGTTGAGATGTTTGATCCAGCACTTGGGAGGTGGATAGACAGTGTGTCAATGCGGCAAAAGGTATGGTCTCACAGTCTCACACTTCCTATCACATTTAGTTTGTTGGATATAGAGTAGAATGTTCTAAACTACTCACTCTGTTCCAATTAGAAATCATTCTAGCTTTGTCCCAAGTCAAACTTGTCTAACTTTGACCAAGTTTATAGAAAAATATACTAATATCTACAATATCATACAAATACACTATCAAAATATATGTTATGATGTACCTTATGAATCTAGTTTGGTGTTGTTGCTTGTGCATTTTTCTACAAACTTGGTCAAACTACAGAAGCTTGACTCAGGACAAAGCTAGAATGACTTATTGTTGGCTTCCCTACTAGTCCATTCTTTATTCTCGTGTTATGGTTAACAAGGTTCAGGATCCATATAATGGAGCAAAATTTAAAAAGGAAATGTTATAGGGAGAAATTGTTTAAACTCTATAGCTAAAAGTTCCAGATCACAAGAAGAAGCAAGCTTTTGCAATAGGTAGTCATATTATTTTATTATTGTTTGCTTGTCATAAATTGGCAAAGCAGTGTTCATTCTTATAGTAAGATCAGTAATTATCAACTGCATTAGAATATGGATAGCTATTTAATCATTGGGATGGTGAGTGTGTATATTATATGGAAGTAGTTCTGCATATCTCTAATTTAATGTAGTTTCTTTTGGAACTAATAACATATATCGTACATATTTTTCACAAATATTTTTCCAGTCTCTATCAAACTACTCCATCCAGTCACAAATAAGTGATGATTTGGGCATTGACATGGTCTGCAAAACACAACTTTGACTAGTACTTCTTATTATGAAGTATTTGTAAAATATAGAAGAGGTTCATTTTATGAAACTACATTTTGAGATAAATCTACTGTTAGCATTCTCAAATATCCAAACTCAACATTTAAAAAGTAACATGCGACAAAAGCTTGAAACGGTTGACTTAAGACAACCCCAAAACATTTACTAATTTGTGAGTGGAAGGAGTATGCATCAAATTGCAATGCGTGAGCGTATTTGCTGGAGAGAATTGGGCGCTATTTCATGTGATTTTGTGTCTGTAGGATAAGGATCATCTGCATGTGTCCATGACTTAATTGTTTTGTGTTTGTGAGATAATCTGCTGCTCTCCCTCTCCAGCTTTTTGCTGCAGCAGAGTTTGAACCATTTCGGTCAGCTCTTGCTAGCATCTGTAGAGGTATGGCAATAGGCCATCGCCTCCTTGTACTAGTCTGTACACTTAGAAGTGGCAATAGGCCACTAGTAGTAGTGGCTTACCTCAGCCATACATAGTTGGTAAGGCTGATCTCAGCCATGTCCTAGAGGACATTGTAGTTGGTGTACTCACCTCTACACTTGTGCATATATTCACTAGGCAATACAAGGAGAAAACCAGTTCAATTGAACACACATTCAGAGTTTCAGTGTTGTGCTCGTGGTGTGTGTGTGCTCTGTTGTCACCCCCTTCTTCTACCTCTAGCTGTGGGTGTGTGTGTGTGAGGGTGTTGGTGAGCTAGCTGCTCACCTGTGCAAGGAGATCCAGGGCCAACAGTGTTATCTAGTTTACCCACGATGGTTTGATTTAGAACTCAATTCTTGCTTTTGTTTGTTATATATATATATGTTGTTCCAGAGATTTGCTCCTGCTGCAGCCGTATTAAGTGGTACACTCTATGTAACTGGTGGTTATGATGGCAACACGTACTTACAGTATGATCCTTGACCATTCTTTCAGTATTATGATTATGATTTTGATGTCTTTTGACTTTGCTATTGACAAAATGATGGTAATACACAGATCAGCAGAAAGATATGACCCAAGGGAAGGTTTCTGGGCTCTGCTTCCAAGTATGAGTGCAAGAAGAGGATCCCACTCCGTAGCTGTCATGAGGGAATCCTTGTGAGTTCTGAGACTCTTTCTCTCCATCTCCATCCTATGACCTCCTTGCAACCCAAGACTTGCATAATCTGCCTCATTGTTGTGTACACTGAAACAGGATAGCTTATGTTTCAGATTCGCTGTGGAGGGTATGATGGAAACAGCAAGATTTCCACTGTAGAAATCTTTGATCCGCGTGCCAATTCATGGAGGATAGACAGTTCATCCAGCATCGCAAGAGGATACGGATGTGCGGTGACAAAGGATGATAATCTGTACCTCATTGGTGGGGTCAATGATGCTGGAGAAACTATCGAGACTGTAAGTCTGTTGGTTGTTATTCTCCATGATTTGTTTTCCCTGGACTTGTTGGATTCTTGAATTTCTTCTGGTGCTGTTTCGCAGGTTGAAGTTTACAATGAGAGGCAAGGCTGGTCGATCTCTGGCTGCAGATCCATAGGGAGGAGGGCCTTTGCCTGCGCTATCACCGTTTGACAGGACCACGGATCTCATAGCCTACCAATTTTTTGGAACAGAGTTATGGTTTTGCAGCCTTTGCCCTCTTGCTGGTTCTACACATTGGTCAGAGTATACCTTCTTCCCAAAACAGTCACTGGGTTGAGAAAATTTTTGCTCCTCCTTCCGCTTCTTACTTTATACTACTTCCGTCCGTGGATAAATCAACTTTTAGAGTTGTCTTGAGTCAAACTTTTGCAAGTTTGATTGAATTTATAGACCAGTATTTTTGACACAAAATTATTGGATACACCATGAAATATATTTTTCGTAGTGTACTCATTTAGTGTCATAGATGTTAATATTCTTTCCTATAAAATTGGTCAACCTTGCAAAAGTTTGATTTAGGACAACTCTAAAAGTTGATTTGTTTGGGGACGGAAGGAGTATAAGACAAAGTCACCTATTTTTTCTGGTAGTGCATTTCTGAATTGACAATCACAGAATGCCACCAAATGGTTAAGGTCACAGTAGCATGTTCTGTTGTGTAACGTTCAGGCAGTCTACTGCTGCTTGCACTTTTGAGAAACTACATATGGTATAGGTGATGAGGCGGTCTACTGAATTGTTGAGGGTTCATGAGTATTTTGGGGAGTTCAAATGTACATGCCGAGCTCCTTACAGCATTCGAGACACGCTCCTTGGAGCATTATTTCTTGCTCCGTAATTGCTGAATGCTGATGGTAGCAATCTAGCTAGCTCTGGCAGCTCTAATTGGCAGCCAGTGGATATGATTGTTGCAAGGGAATCGCTCTTGTCCGGTGAACTGGTAGCATCTGTATTCTTCTCATATATAGTGCGATCGGTTGGTGGAATCGGACTCTGCGGCAATGCATTGAGTTGGTGAACGGAGTGCAACGCTGCTAAGCAAGGAATATGGTCCTAACTCTAGGGATTTGGCTCGCCAAACTGCCTATCGTAGGAGCAAAGTGCGGTTTGACTGCGGACCTGTTGCTTGTGCGAGATTTCACAGGGCTAGTTAGGCCCTGATCAGTTCAGCCATTCTTTCCAAAGATGCCCGATCGCGTTGCGTGTTTCTGAGTAAGTTTTTCCGATCGCGTTGCGTGTTTCTGAGTAAGTTTTTCGTTAGCCTGATGAGGGCTGGTTATCTTAGCACAAAAGGGATTTCTCTCATTCCCAAATGTTAGCTGTGAGCAACTCCAATAGCTTAAGCTAAAATTAGTAGCTAAATTCTATAGTTTAGTCATTTTGTCGGTCTTACTATTTTTCATTTTTAGATAGATAGCGCCTATGGTTGGCTTTATATGGCCACAGAAAATTAAAAGATAGCTAGCTTTCTATTTTACAAAGTCAAATAACACATTTGTTTTAGAATACTTTAATAGCCGAGCTATTGGAGTTGCTCTTACGTATGGATGAAAATGGAACTTGAGGACTAATTGGGTGGTTAGACAACCGATAAGCGATTGGTGTTTAAATTCTGAAACCTCACGAAAGCAAAGAAAAAAAAAGATTCTTCCGATTACCAATCGACAGCGCAAGGTTCCCGTACAAGGCTAGCACATCAATTCATCGTCCAGAACGACAGAATCCAAATAAATCAACAGTGGACTCCTTCAGACGTACACACCAAATAAACCAACACCTTTGGCTCAGCACGGAAGTATAAGGCACCAACTTGAGCAGAAATACGTTGCACCGATTTACCTTTGGCTCAGCACGGAAGTATAAAAGGGAGATTCCTCAAGGCCCAATTGACAACAGAAATTCTTCAACTCAGACACCCATCTTCAAACCGAGAATCTGCTTTACCCGAAACTTTGCCGGGCCTTACTGGACTCAATCATCGTCGACCAGAATTCTATCCCAAAAACATTGCCTTCTTCCTCTATAAAATCTACCTATTCCCCTCATCGATCATCAAACCACCAGCTTAAGTTTCCAGCACCAGAGCAATGGCCTCCAACTTTGTGCCTGATGCCTGGGCTTGGATCACCAGCCTGCCCCATTCACCCATTGGCGCACCAGCGCCATGTCCCTTGCATTTGCACCACAACATCATCATCAGTGTCATCACAGCCATCAATGAACCTCTCGATTGTGAAAACCCTTCCATCCCCAGCCTTCTTATGTTACCTTCTCCATCTATGCAAACTACAGTGTGCCAGTTTCCCTGTGGACGTCAAAACCAGTCCATCTGAAAACAAAGACACAGCAAACTCTAGATGAACAAGATATGATACAGGTCTTCGTTGACATTGTCAACTCAGTGATGAGGTATTGTCCAGACAAAAAATTGTCATTTCGGTTCCCTGGGGCACAGCCTCATGCCAACTTCAAGGACGTGTTCAACATAGTTTTCTTGTCCCTGGCCTTCCTGGTGTGCATCTACGAGTCTCCTCGTGATCTCCGTCCTGGATGCTTGGATTCACTGAGAACCCAGCTTACTGGTTCAAAGTGCAGAGATGCCGCAAAGAACCTTGTAAAGATGCTTGGGGCAAACCTTGAGGACCAGTGGATGCAGACAATGAATCTTGCAGTAACTAACTGGATCGTTGAGCTGAGATCCGCAAACCAGTCATCTGGGGTATCATCGCCGCTGTTCTCATATGCCCTCTCAGCAAGCGGGCTCTGGAAGGTGCAGCTATACTGCCCAGTCATAACCATGGGCATGGAGGAACCTGCAGAAGCAACACAGGATGAGCGCCTTCTCTTCTCACTCATTTATCAGCAGGTTGAATGTGTCATTCAGCTAGCTTATAGAACAGCAAGAAGGGATAACTGGATTGATGTCGAGGTGAAGGTAGACAACATAAGGTCAGTTATTTTAACATATAAGAACCAGTTCTTTCTATTACATGAACTCACAATCAAGTTTCCGTTCTTTTTCCTGAGGTAGCAATAACAACTTGATTTTTTAGTACAAAGGCCAAAGAATAGTTCAATTTTAGTGGTACCCTGTAAAGTGTATCTGCATAAGTTGGCATCAAAGCTAGATCATTAGATAACAAATAAAACCTAAACATGTCAAAATATAGTCACTTTCTACACTAAAGTAAATTGACATGGAGTAAGGAATCATGTATATTTTTGTAAAATGTTGTTAACTAGGAACAATATAGATCTTAGAGTAAAACTCCCATTTGAGTAGTCTACACCAGAACTGTCTAGAAATTCATTAGCATATGTAATCTATAAGCCAACACTATTTAAAAATCATTAGAAATTCATGGTGGTTCATTGTTTCACAGACTATGATTAGCTGTAGAAAGCAACTTCATTAAAAAAAAACATTTGTCCACATACATGGACTATCTAATAAAACAAAATAAAAGGGAACAGACAGCACTCACTTTTGGCATCTATCACAGGTGTGATGTGGACTCTTTGGTCTCTGAGACCCTCATGGCAGAACGTGGATATGGCTCTGAAGAGAAGCACTTCCCATCTCGTGTCATGCTGCAAATCACACCTATGCAACAATCTGACGTGCTGTCTGTTTCTGTCGGCAAGTCCACAGACAACCCCACACATGAATTTGGTATTGAGAAGGGCTTTGAGGGTTCCTTTGATCCCCAAACTCATTTGGTCTGAAGGCATCAGTCACTGAAAGCCTTACACTGGCCATGAAGCCCTGGAAATTTGAGCAGTCTGTGCATGGCAACACTGCAACCTTGAACTGGTTTCTTCATCATGATGGTGTCAATGGAAGGGAGGTTTATTCCTCAAAACCTTCAAAGCTTTCTCTGCTTCAACCAAGGGCCTGGTTCGTGACAGGTACTCAAATGCATACCGCCTGCTCACAAAGCAGGGGGGTGTCATTTTCTTGCGTGATGAGTATGGAGATAGTGTCTGGTGGAAGATCTGTGGTGCAACACTAGGAAAGACTATGAACTGGGAAACCGAGGCTGGATTTGGCTAACATACTGGCCTAACAAACAAAGGACCTTCCATATTAAACAAGGTGGCTTGAATTTAGAGAATGCCTGCAGCTTCCCCTTACAAAGTTTCCATAAATCACTTTACTCTGAATGATTGTATAGCAGTATGAGATATAACCATTGAAAAATCCATGCATGTATGAGGCACAAAAAGTATGATTACTCTATTGTAACTGAATGTACCGTTACAACGAAATAACTTGCTCATATGCCTGCTTTGCAATTTAATGCAATCCTAAAGATTTATTTGGTGTACTTACCATTCCTTTTCTTGACCTAACTTGAGTTCAGCTGAGCAAATGTGCAATATTAACAACCAAGAGAGCTCATTAAACACGGACTCATTTCCTACTATAGTACAGGAACTCAACACACAGGACAACTTCTTGTACCGGTTGGTTCATAGTATAAAGCTATGTCTCAGTAAGATGAAAACCACGAATGACTACAACGCTTCAGGTTGAAGCATTTTCCTAACATCTAGAATGAAGTTATTCCTACTTCTCCCCATAACCATGCTTCTAATATGCAAAAAGGCTAAACCCATCATCTCCATCATGGTATTCTTCATGTGCTTCAATTTTTTTATCAGCATTCAATTCTATAATTATCATCTCAACCACCTCTTCAACGTTGAAGTAATCATAACTTACTTCCCCTTCTTTGTGTAACACACTCTTCTCAGATTGAATGACGTCCACGGTCTTGCAGGCAACGTGGACACTTCCCAAGTCATCATTCCCTTCTGTTTTCACCTCATGGACCTCAGTCTCCACAGATTCCACCTCAGTCTCCACTTTCTCATCAGACCGTTGCAACGTGGCAGCCGGTACACTAGATGCCAGCAACGAAAGCGCCGACGTGCAGCCAGAGTTGGCGTCAGCAGAGTTCTCCGAGAAGTTGACACGTGCCTTGGGGCCATACATGGCCTTTGCCGCCTCATCGTATGCATGGGCAGCCTCCACAGCGGTAGGGAAGGAGCCCAGCCATAGCCGCCGGCCACGGTTGGGCTCGCGGATCTCCGCCACCCACTTGCCCCACGTCCGCTGCCTCACGCCGCGATACACGCAGTTGACGTTCTCAGGCCCTCCTTTGCCCGCCATGCACCCTTTCTTGGAACCCTTGGCCGGCGCCTTCCTGGAGCCGCTCTCGTCCTGCAGCTTCTGGTTCTGCTCCTTCCACCACTTGATCGTCTCGGCAATGGAGTCAGGGCCAGTGCTCTTCCTCCTCATCCTCTTCTTCCTGACCCAACAAGGCAATTCATTCATCATTTCATAAGGCCCGGAGCGGAAACATTCAAATGAAAATCACAAGATATAGAAGGTCATCTATCTAATCCGCTTCAAGGAAAGAAGTAAACGAGCCCTGTTGATTCCTCCAAGGGCCAGCAGTAATCTAACCAAGCTGAAAAGAAAGAGAGAGTCGTTTTAGATGCTGTGCACACAAGGCAGTTCTTCTGCTGCCATGGCACTCCAGGAAGAAAGGCATGGACCTGCACCACCATGAACACAGGAGACTTCCACATCCACTACCCAGGGCAACATCACCTGTCTGTCTCGCCCAATTCAGCACTGAGACACCGCCCCGAATAATTTTGAACTGTAATTCTCCCCGAGATGTCTATCTTACAAAATTCTCCACCGAGAAAGCTTGAAGTTAACCCAAAAACAAAACTATATTTGGAAACGAAGATCGGATGAAATAGTGTCGGGAACTACTCCTAGCCGTGGAAGATTTGGTCTACCCAATCCGCCGCCAAACGAGCACAGCAGCGAGATGGATGGACAAGCTCCAGGTCAGCAGCAGGAGACTCGTCAACACTACCCAAACCCAGACCACCAGACAGAAGCACATCGGCAGGCAGGCACGCACCGATTCCGCGGCCGGCTAGGCGCACGCACAGCGCCGGCGCAGCAATGCTCGACGAGCACCACGCACGAGCAAGGAAGACCGGCGCGCGAGAAGAAGGAGAACCGGAGGACAGGACAGCTCACCTGACAAGGGCCCCGGAGGCGGCGTCCCCTTGCGCTCCCTGGCCGGCGGCGGCGTCTCCCAGCTCCATGGACGGAAGAGCGAGAAGAGAGCGAGAGATCTCCCCGCTCCTCCGCTGCCCTGCCTAGATTTCGTCCCTCCCTCCCGCCCGACTGGGCCTGGCCGGCCGCCTCTCTGTGGCGGTGGTATCCTCGTTGTTTCTCGTCTGGGCAGCAGCCAGATCTTCTACGGCCGGCGCGCCCCCCTGGATCTCTCCCCGTCCCCCTTCCCCCTCCCACCTCACACCTCGTAACGCGGCAGGTGTCGGTGTCCCACCACCCCCCAGGCTCCCACCTCTGACGCTGCCGCCGCTTCGCTGCCTGGCCTGCCCGCGTGCGTGACTGCGTCCGCTTCGGTTTTGACGTGGACGCCACCGCGGTGCGGCTAATCTGGCAGGCTGCAGGCGGGCGCGGGGGCGCCGGGGCGGGTCAAACGAGAAACAACACCCCGCGCCAGCAAGCGTTTACACGCCAGCCAGCCCCAAATACGGCGCCCGCCCGCCGCCCTGTCAACACCAACACGCGCGCGCGCTTCTTTCTCGCCCCGGGTCCGAGTAGTGTACAGTACCATCTCTTTCTAACAGAAACAACACCGTGTCCGTGCAACCAAGGCCATGTTTAGAGTAAAAAATTTTGGCAAAATGACACGGTAGTAGTTTTCGTTGTTATTTGATAATTAATGTTTAATCATAGTCTAATTAGGCTTAAAAGATTCGTCTTGTGGATTTCGTCTAAACTGTGTAATTAGTTTTATTTTTTATTTATATTTAATGCTTCATGCATGCGTCAAAGATTCGATGTGACGGAGAATCTTGAAAAATTTTACAAAATTTTTTGCAACTAAACTGGACCCAACTCCGGATGCCTTTTTCGACATCACCATTAGAATGTCTCCAACCGTGGGACCTAAAAACGAAAGGCATTTCATCCTTTGCGTCGCGCACAGCCAATGGGTTAGGACCCAAAACATCACCCTTTCCAACAGACAACGCAAAAGATCCGGTGGTCGCGTCCTCCTCCGTCTGTTGCCTTCGCCCGGACCGTCCTCCTCTCCGTCGTCGCGTCTTGTCAGCCGCTTTCTTGGCCTCCCTCTCTCTCTCCTCTCCTCTCCTCTATCTCCTCCCTCCCGTGGTCTGGGACCCTCCTAGGCAAAGGAAGCGAGGTGCTTGATGGGACGGTGGGGCCGAATCCGTCTCGCCACGCCAAGACCGGCGGCGCTCCGCCTTTGCCGTGCGTGGAGCGAGCCATGGCCATTGGCTCAAGGAGTCACCGTCGCCGTGGGGAGAAGCAGCCGCGACGACCTTGCCGAGGCCGTCGGCGAGGAGCGAGGTGATGGCGCCGAGCCCCGTCGTCCTCGAGAAGGTCCAGCGTGACCTCGACCAGCTCCTCCCGTCGTCCGGACTCGGTCGAGCCGCACGGTGAGGAGCCCGTGCTCCTCAGCGTCGCTTGACGCCCGTGCTGTGTTTTGGGCGCAAGGCGTCAGGGAGAAGGCAAATTTGCCTCCTCTCTCCTCCACCCAAAATGCGTGGTGCTCTGCGTCGTCGCTGGAGCCGCTGGGAACTTATAAATGCTGTGTGGTGGGCGACGCAATTTTGCGGTTGCGTCGCGTCGTTGGAGTCAGTCTTAGAAAAACGAAAACCCTTTGGATAGCTACTACAGCGGCCTTTGGCTGACCATGGATGCTGCGGCCTGCGGTGGCTAACGGCCACCCCATTGTATGCCCATGAGGCCATGAGCATTTGTGTCCACGATTTGAGTTGCTTGACGATGACACAGATGGACAGTATTATGGCACGGTAGGCCTTAGGCCTGTGTGGATTCAGGAATCAGGATAGGTTACCGCCATTTCAAATTGCATAAAAAGAGGTATATAGGCTAAATTTGGTTGATATCTAGCAAATAGATATACCATACATCAGCCTGTTCGGTTGGCTGGTTCGTATCGTTGTTGGTTCGTGAAGAAGTACTGCTGGCTGGTTTGTGTGAGAGAAAAATACTGTTTCGGCTGGAAATTTACGATCGTTTACGACAAACCACAGCCAAACGAACATGTTGCATAACATCCCATCTGTTGGGAGGAAGGAACTAACATGACTGTCAATCCCCCCCCCCCCCACCCCCAATTTGAAACGTCGAAGAATCCAAAAGATGCTCCAGTAGACTACAAGGCGTCTTCCTTTACGTGGTAAAAAGGTAGCAACGCTCGGACAAATTAAAGAAGAAGAATGTTAAAGTCGATGTTCGAAACCCTATACTAGCTTCGTCTAGTTGAGCTCGATCAACTGTCTCTTTTTTACACGTATCCCGACAATTTAAGTGATACGTAGAACTAAGGTGACCATCTTGTCTACTTTTATCGCACCTTCTCACTCCTCTATCTCTTTTGTGTCCATCAATTTTGGACGTACGTGTCGTATTGTATACTCTTTTACTTTTTACCGGTACTGACGTAGGTGCTCATACATCTCGTGCATACACTTACTTCTATCAAATATCTTTCGAATTTGACGTCCATATATCGTACTCCTGCGAGCATCTTTGGAAGATTAAGGCTGAGCTCTTTGATAGGCACAGGCAACACAAACCAATCTATAATCTCAATTTTACAATTTTATAAATCCTATAAGAAAAGCATCTGTTGTATCACCATCGGTTTCCTTCTCGCGCCAATCAAACCAAGGTAGTCTTATATGCCGCATAATTTTTTTTCCCCAAATTCCCTGTCGCTGTATCGGGTCACCTTGTTTTATTCGGCACGCATCGATCGCAAGGCCTCGTCGTCGTCGTTGTTGCGTTGCTCGGCCCGGTGAAGCTCGGCCCGGTCGGTTCGGCACGGCCCACCTTAGTTCAAGATCACATATTCAGAAATTTTATTTGTTGCTCAAAAAAAAATTCAGAGATTTTATTTTATACTTGCTCAAAAAAAAAAAGAAATTTTTATTTTACTTCGG